GTGACTTCGTGGGAAGTCAAAGGTCACACAAACAAAATAAAAGCTCCCAAAATATAAATACAGAAAATAAACATATATAAATAAACACATATACATAACCAATACTGACAAAGCGAGATAACACTGCAGGATGGATCTTTGGTGAAATATAAATTATTTTTTAATACACCCGTTACATCAGCTCCAATTCTGAAGGACAAGTCTTGGACAAATCTGACACAGACAGTTTTTAGTACTTTTGCTGATAGCAGTTCCAAACAAAATTACACAATAATCACAGCACAAACAATGAAAGAATGCAAAAGAGAGCAAAGGCCAGTTCAGTGTAGGACTTCAGTCCTCTTTGAACTACTTTTCCTGACTTCTACATTTGTTTTTTCCATTAGGAAAACATAACAATATGTAAAATGACTTTGTCTTGTTCCTGAATACAGTGATTTGTTTGTCAGCAACATTTCAGTTTTGCCTTATGGAAATTAAAAATTTGTTTAGCTTGGCTCAATATGCTTGTGTTTTTTTAACCACTATGGTGGTGTGGTGCTCGGGTGTTGGAAAGCTCGGCTTTCCACAGTATGGGTGTAAATGACCCAGATTATTTGTTTATTTGATATTTTTCAAACAGTTAAATCCCTGAACGAATTATACCTTATAATATAGATTAGACTCTTATTTTGAAATTCGGAACGGGCGGAAGGAAGATCGTACTGCTACTGCTTGCCGCAGAAAAGGTTAATGAGAAGGTTATCGTTTTCCATCCATCTTCAAATTAGCATCTAGCTGGAAGGCGAACAGGTATGTTTGTGTGTTCTACTTGTTGTTTGCATTTCGGACAATTTGTAAATGTATTACTCGATTATTAATAAGTTTATGAGTGATCTAGCAGGCTGATGCTAGCACCTCCTGTGCCTTTTCTGTGAATTAATTAGCATAACGGAAATGTGGTTATATCAAGTGAATGTGTATTTTGTTTTATGTCATGATTACAGCTCTTACGATGTGCCTATGGTAACTTGTGAATAAATGGGTTGGAATACCCCACCATGGTCCATCCGTAATGATCATTGAGTGCATCGTCTGAATAAAGTCCGACTGGAATGCTACAATGGGTTCAAAGTGTTTCTAAGTCTGGGACTTCTGAAAGAAAACTGCCAAATTTAGCACCCTGTGAGCCTCATTTGTTTGATAAGATACAGTTATTGTGAGTCAAAGTTATTAACTTGGCATAGGGATTTTCTTCAACACACCTAAACACTTTTAGCTGCCTAACAGCAGTTACTTTAAACTCAAAAGTTTTAATATGTAAGCTTTCACCTTCTGAATGTTAGTATGTACGGTTAATAAATATATCATGAATATGTGGCAACACGAAGGGGAAATGTGGAAAAGAGTGAGGAAGCAATGATGTCATACACACACACTAGAATGCTGGTGTGGCAAGTGGGAGCTTAAAACCTTTTACAATTGTAAGGTGTTGGGAGATTTTGAGTTTTGTGTTATGTTTATTTGTAGCTTCATTTAAAGGAAGAAGAGCTTATGAGTTGTACAACTGCAGGAAAGGGAAGTGAGACATTGTGTGCAGAAAATAAGTGCTGTGACAGCTAAACAGCTACCTCCTGTTTCAACAGATAAGCTAACGGTTTTTCCTTTTAAGGAGTTGTTATTGAATTATATACATGCCACGCCTATTGTTGTTCGAGTATAAAATAAAGGAAGTACTGACGATTCCTCTATGACACACACATCGTGCACACGTTGGTGCAGAGCAGATCGGATCGTGTCGGGGCATAGGCCCATGTACATGTAAAATCTTTGAGTCTGTGTTTCTTGCCTCCTAAGAGTTTTCTCCTCATATAAGGGAAACTGGACAACGTCCAGTCACCTCCACTTTAGCTCTTCAGCTTCCGAGTAAAAGAAAACGAATTATTAATGTATCCAAAACAAAAATCAAATACACACCCTCTGTGGTTAGCACTACTGTAGAAAAACACTGGTTATCTGCAGCTAGAAAAAGGGCCTCCTAAAAGTGGTGTAACACAAAAAAATGAGAATTTACAAATAAAACGTTGAGAAATCAAATGTACAAACACAAAACAAATTACATTTTCTCTTCTGAGCAGATAATTTCCCAGCGCTTAAACGCTAATCTAAAAACCTAAACCTAAAAAAGCCAGAGGAATGTGGAAAGATCAAACATTCAAACAAGTTAGTTGTGCATAAGACAAAAAGTGACTCAAGCTAATTAATTCCCTGCCAGTTACTGAAATGGGCAGAAGAAAACCTAAACAAAAGAAGATAGTTGGCAAAAAAAAAAAGACAAAGCACAAAGAACATAAAAAGGCAAAGCAGCAGCACTTCTGTAAAGGTAGCCCAGAGAAGCAGTAGTGGCCCGGCTGTAACAGAGCGTTCTCACTCCCGAGACGTAACATGTCGACGTTTTGTCACGTCCCGCGGCGTTCCTGAGGAACGCGAAAGGAGACCTTCGGCGTTCTTATGGTACGCGCCGGGTTATGAATCCAGTGCAATGACGCTCCGGTGGTAATAGACGTTCCAGCCCTGTATTCCAATCCTAAACCTAACCTTATCCCTAGCCCTGACCATAACCTTATTCCTGACCTTAACCAGGACTTTAATGATGTTAAATAGCGTGTTTCTAAGCGATTTGAAGAAAAAGAGCAAACATGTGTAGATTCAGTTCAGACGGTTCTCATATTTCCTCTTTTTTCCGAGGTCGTCATTTAAGAACGTGGTGGGTAGCCGAAAACGTAATATGGTGACGATTTGTCACCTAGCGTAAAATGTTACGCTTTGGGAGTGAGAACGGGTTGGCTGTAAAGCTATATCAGTCGCCCACTACTATATATAAGGAGGAAATAATTTATAGCTCTAGGATTGAGAGCAATAAATTAAGTTCAAAATGAAAATTGTTGGATTTGGAGAACCGGATTCAAATATATGTTAATATTAATATTAGTCAGTGTCTTTAACTGTCCTCTAATCTTCTGCTTTTTGAAAATTGTGATAATAAATGTTCATACATTTTCAAGTTTCGTATATGAAATAGAAATTTCATTCAAGTTTTGATGTGTTTGAGATATCAAAATTGGTCTATTTTGAGTTTTTGGTGAGTTATCAGCTACTTGAACAAGTGAGCATAAGGTGTGTGTTCCTGAATACTAACAGGTACTGACAATGAAAGGGCAGTCCTGTCATGCAAATAGGTTTTGAAAGGCAAAACTCACATCTCCAGCATATATTTTCCAAACTGTTTGGATCCCCACCACTCTGACGAACTTTTTGGAGTAAATCAACTATGGATCAAATCTTCATCTTCATCCTGCTACTGCTCAGCTTGTCTGCAACTTTTTCCAAGTACGTTTACATTGACCAGAAAATGGATTGGCTTGAAGCTCAGATTTACTGTCAGCAGAATTACACAGACCTGGCCCCTGTCAGTAATGAGAAGGATAATGACAAACTTCAGCAGCTCTCCAGCAATGTCAATGACTTTATCTGGATAGGACTGGTAAGAAATTCCTCAAACCGAAAAGAATGGCTGTGGTCAGGAGGTGGAGCACCAACCTGGTATTTGTGGGAACCAGGTCAGCCTGATGACTATCTTCTGGGTCGTGAAGACTATGGCTGTATGTGGGAAAGCAAGTGGTATGATGCAAGCCTATCATATAAAATAACCTTCTTCTGCTACAGTCCAGCAGTGGTGAAGCAGGAAAAGACTTGGGAGGAAGCTCTGGAGTACTGCAGGGAGCACCATGATGACCTGGCCAGTGTGGCATCTGAAACTGAGATGCTGCTGATCCAGAAAGAGCTGAGCAAACATAACACCACTGAACATGTCTGGACTGGATTGCGCTTTCTGGCTGGGGACTGGCTGTGGGTGGACGGGCAGGAGATGGACTATGAGGCCTGGGATGAAGAAGGAAAACCATCATGTCCACATGCTAAGATAAAGTGTGGAGCCTTACAGGTGACAGGAGGGAACAAGGCTGTTTGGGACACTCATGACTGTGAGGAGAGACTACATTTTATTTGTTACTGAGCTTTGTAATATTCATTTGAATTTCCTTCTATTTACTTTGGATATTAGATAGTAGTAGATTATTTATCTCATTTGTTTATTTGTATTTTTATGCTTAATGCTTAATTATCTAATTTTTATTGTGGGAGAATGTCACCTGCCAGTAATTTTCAAACAGCACATTTAACCAATGATGTTTCTTTTCTTTTCTGGAAAACAAATATAAAGGTTCAGACTTAGTCTTTTTTTTAAGATTTCACTCTAGTTTTTGCACCTTTGAATGGCTAAATAAAGAAATAAAGAAATTAAGGTTTTGTGACTTAGAAGTCACTTAAACCAGACTGAGATGGTTTGGCCTTAAACAGGCCATTCATGTACAAAACCTCTCCAATGTGGATGAATTAAAACAATTCTGTAAAGAAGAATGGGTCAGAATTCCTCTACAGTGATGTGAAAGACTCATTGCCAGTTATTCAAATGCTTGATTTTGTTTCTTGCTGTCAAAAGTGATATCAGAATACTTTATTAATCCCTGAGGAAAATATGTGGTTTCCGTTACTTCAAGACAATAAGAACAGTAACTGACTAAACTAAATAAAACAACACAACTTATTGCAAAGTTACTAAATATAAAAAACAGCTCTAATATATACAAAAAGCTTATTTAAATGAGGTGGGCGCTGGACCCTATCCGAGCTACACAGGGCGAAACACCCTGGACAGGTCCCCAGTCTGTCATAGGGTTAACACATAGAAACAGTCAACAATTTGCATTCACATTCACACCTTTGGGCAATTTAGGTTTAACCATTTAACCTAACCTCACTCACTGAATGTCTTTGGCTGTGGGAAGAAACATGTAAAAATATAATATAATACATTTTAAACATATAAGAAAAATTTATATATACAATTAAAATTGTACTGTAAAGTGTAAGGCTGTATTATTTTGTTATTGTAACTATAGAGGATGTGCAGATACTAATTGTGTGCAACTACTGCAGTGTGTACTGAAAACTAGATGGAGGAATTTTATAGCCGCAGGCAGGAATGATTTTCTGTGTGCATTTGTAATGTAATGCACTGAACGTGCTCCTGTGAATAGCCGGAATGTCATGGAGTAGATGGGAGGTATTGTCTAGCATTGTCCTTATTTTGGACAACATCTGCTTCTCTGACACCACCTTAAGGGAGTCCATCTCCATCCACACAACATTATTGGGCTTGCAGATCACTTTAGTGAGTCTGTTGGCATCTGTGACCTTCAACCTGCTGCCCCAGCATGCAACAGCATAGAGGACGGCACCGGCCACAACAGACTCAAAAAGTCCTGAGCGTTGTCTGACAGATGTTGAAGGACCTCAGCCGCCTCAGAAAACAGAGACCACTCTGGCCCTTCCTGTAAAGTGCAGTGGTGTCTTTAACCAAGTTCAATTTATTTCCTTTGTGTATTTCAAGGTATTCATAGTCCTCCACAATGTCCAATTCGACCACCTGGATTGAAACAGGGGTCACTGGTTTCCTGGTCCTCCTAAAATCCACAATCAATTCTTTGGTCTTTGATACATGTGCACAACAACAATAAATCTACTAACTGGTACAACCACATTTCTTGTTTCACTCAGGGCCAAGTAGGATTTGAAATGCTTCTTTTCTCTTAATAAAAGAACTCATCATTTTAAAAAAATGGATTTTGATATCATTTTTAGGTTGTTTTTGTCTAATATTAAATGTTTTTGATGACATGTAAGTATGATGAATGGGTTAGGGTTAGAAATTAGGATGGGGCAAATACTTTCATTTAACTTTTCATAACATTGTATACAGTCATGGCATCGTTTATCATACCATGTGATACAGTTGTGCACTCTTTCACATGAGGCCTGTGGACTTTTAATTTAGTGGATTTTCAGAAGCAATTAGACCATTTACAGACAAAAACTTAAGCTACAGATTTTCATTTTTCCAGGGTAGTGACTTTTGGGGCTGGGTCGGCTTCCTTAGCGTGACTGTGATTGTATTTTTGTTTATGTATTTTTTGTCAGTATATAAAAGAGTGAATATAGTGAATGTATAATATGGTCCTGTGCTATGGTTGCTGCAGCTGATGCTTTTTTAAAACCTTTTTGGGAGTTTGCTGTGTCAGTTTTCTCCCACATACTCTAAATCAAACCTAGAAGCAGCAGGTGAGCCATCTCTAAACTGGAGTGAAAAAAGTTATCCCGGGGAGAAACACACCAAAACTTCAATTATTTGCGGTCAGGTGAAGTGGATGTTTTGAACCAACATTTTGAGCAATGTTTCCAAACCTTCTGCAGCATCCGAATAGGAAAGTCAATAAGGAATGAAAGGAATGCCATCTTGTGGCACCAAATTCACTCTGGAGAGGGCAACTGACTGCGAGCGGTCATAGAGCTGGTCCCCGTCTTTGAGGCAACCATTTCAAAGGCAATAAGAGTGCAAGTTTATTGCATATGGTTGCAGTAATTCTGTTTGTGCCATGCCTCTTGACACTATTTTCTCAAGTGTGACTGCAGCAGAAGAAGTATGAATGTGTAAAACCTGTTACTCTTAGAAACCTGACCTGAGATCCTGGTCTTTGGAAAGATGCTGCGTACAGTTTGTGTCAATGTGACTCTGTCTGATTTGCCTTTTCTGTAGGCACTGCTACAGCAAATTCATAACTTTTTAAAAGAAATGATGTAAATTCATGTATTTGGCAAATCACAGACTCGTAATGAACACGACTATAGCATTATTCAGGTTTTTTGTTCTCATTTAGGCACTCACGCGCTTCTTTTAGATTAAGGAACAATTGTGGCCTACCTTCATAGAAAAACAGTGTGACTTGAGAAAAAAATGTTTAAATTTACAGTTAGGGAAAGATGAAAGTTTCCTTGGAGATTAACCAAACTGTGTTATTGTGTAAACCTAACCTCAAATAAGAGTTTGGAATCAAATCCTTTATAAATAAAATGGTTTTTCCATTCACAAAACATTGCCTCTAAATGTAATACAGTGTGCAACTGTACTGAATCATTAATTCAGTCTGTAAAAAACAGCTTTCTTGCTAATGTGTAAGTGCATAAGAATTGCATATACATGTATAAACAGCGCTACAGAGCAAGTTAAAGAAGAGAGACGCTATCAATAGTAACATGATGTTTTTCATTATTTAGTACTACTGAATGAGTGTTCCCCAGACTGAGGTTTTAAAAGAGTCTAAATATATATTTAAAGCTGCTGAACAATAACAGGGCAAAGCCCAAAGAATTACAAAGTCGGCGAGTTTAAGTGTCTTTTCGTGTCCATATGTGTGTGAGTGATGTATTTGAACAGTGTAAATATCTCTTTTTTGGGTGAAAGTGTGAAATACAGTAATACTTTACTGCAACTGTTGATAAGGTTCACAGTGATATGCTGAGTCTGTCAGGTAACACTTACACACTCTCCCAAACACACACAAACACTTCGAAGCTAAGGGCTGAATCAGGCAGGAAGTGAAGGGCTCCCTGAGTTACAAACACAGGCAGCAGTGTAGCAGCTCACCCGCTTCGCTATCTCAAAAAAACTAATGCTTCAGAATACACAAACACATATGTTTTGGAAACAAATATTTATATATAATTTTTCACTCTAAGCGATTAGTCATTAACCTCCATTGGAGTGATCTCTAATGCAGGAATCCAGCAGGTTAAAACCTTGGAGCTCATTTGGAATAGCCATGTCCTGCATGTGGGAAGTATCTATCAGAGGGAAGGAAGTGTAGTTTTCATCAGTGTGACATCTGTGTGTGTATTTCTGTGTGGTCTGTTCATGTTTTGTGTGCACAGGGATAAAAATTAGCAGCGCTAGCAGGTTGCTCTGACAAGTCCTGTTAATGAGAACATCCTCTAGAGCCTTTTGGGCCAGTGAAAGAAACCAGAGGCCATAATCATCTGTTCAGCCTGGAAGATGGCGTGGAGGGGAGGAGGCTGCAGAACAGCAAAAGGCATTCACAATTACACCACACCATCTGCAGCGGAGGTGCTACCGTGTAGCCGAAAGTATGAGCACTGGGCAGAGAAGCTATTTAGAACAAAGGCCCCAAAGCTTCACCTTTGCAAACTATAAAATGCCATTTGCTTGAACGAGGACAGGAAGTATGAGGAGAGAACAGAGGAATGAAAATATTTAAAGGTCTTATCAGCCATTGATTCACCCGTGTGTTCCTGTACGCATAGTGTCAAGGTCAAGGCTCAATCTACGTTGGACGGCTCCAGAGTAAAAGCATAAAGGTTTATACCTGGAATGACATCTTCGAGGGATATGGCCTATAGAGATGGCCACAGGATCACCTCATTAGCATTAGAAGAAAAAAAGAGAAAAAAGAGAGAAGAAGAGAAAAGAAGAAAGAAAAAAGTAAAAGAAGATACAAAAGAAAAGAAAAAAAAAAGAAAAAAAAATACGAATGAAAGTTTCCAGCTAATACTATATTTAGTACGCAGTGCAACAAAATTGTTTGGTTTGCAGTACCCAGTAACTGACCAAGTCTCTGCATGTTGTGTATGGCAGGGCACATCCAAAACTAATTCCTTATTTTGTATTCAGGCAGGTGGTTATGTACAGTGCAAATGCCACATGTGAGGTTTCAGAAACTGCTGGGCTTGACAGGGCTTTGACTGAAATCTTTTTTTAAACTATCCTACTTTATAAACCTCACTGTAAATAGTAAATCTATGTAATAGGAAAATGTAGAACATGTTTTGATAAATGTTATGATCGTAACAAAAAGATAAAAATTTAATTAAAAACAATTATATACAGTCCTCACATTTTGTCACAGACACACAAAAGAAAATACATTAAAAACAGAAAAAGAAGAAAAGGAGATGGAAAGGCAGACAAGGGAAAATACCTTTAAAAATATTACTCTTACAATCTATAATTGTGTTTACAGTACAGGTATATTAATTTCCCCTGTGTGTTTAAAATTAAATTATGGGAACAGTTTGAAGCTCTATTATTCTTTAATGGTCTTTTTATGGTTTTTAATGGTCTTTCAAATTCTCATTCATGTGTTGTTTTCCATCATGGTAATGGCATGACAGTATGAATGATGACTTCATTTGGTTCTCTAATGAGAAGAAAGCAATGGTTACACTTTGCTGTATGCAAACTAAAACATTTGTTTGGTGTGCTCACTTCCAATAACCTTTGGCTTTACATCTACCTGTGTTTGCTTTCTAAGTCTTGGTCAAACCTGGAGGAGCGTGATGTATAAAATACAAACAGAAGGAGAGATTTAAAGGATATCAGTTCCACACAAAACTACTTAATAACGTTAGCACGGGACATGCAACATTGCAAAAATTAAGAAAGGCAATCCAATGTATCAAAAGACAAATGTTTAGTATGGTTAAAGAAGAAGCAAAAAGCTGATGGAAATTACAAATTAAATATTCTCACACAACACATGGAGCTATTTCTCTTCAGTCTTCCAGTTTCTTCTATTAACATTGCATTTTCTTTTCGAGGAAAGATAATTTCATTATATAAAACAAATTAATTTGTCTTCTTCCTGAATTGTGTGTTCTCTAGCATATCAAGACTATCTCGCCACTCACGCAGCTCGGGTTAACGTAGCTGCCACTGTAGTGGAGACCAGATAGGCAGGCCGTGGGCTGGGTCCCCTCCCACACCCGTTTGCTGATTCACTGCTGGCCCCTCCCCCAGTGTCCCTCCCATTGCCCCGCCTCTGTGAGTCCTGGGCCGGTGGAGGTTGACTATCAGGAGGCGGATGTTATATTCTGGTCTCATTCACAACAGACTCCAGAATATCTGTTTCCTACCCAACAGGGGTAAGGTTTATTAACAAGACATGCGACTCAGATTGGCCCTCTGCCATGTAAACAATAACATACAGCCTAACGATCTGGCCCAACACTCCTTACTTGTGTCACTCTAAAACGTCTGTGCAGCAACACAATCCATTGTGGAACGAATCGTCCTGCAAACAATAATTCACATTATTACATCCCTTCTCTTTTTTTTATTTATTTTTTTTATTTTAAAACATCAGAAGTCCTTGTTTTTTGTTTTGATTTGTCCTTCTTCTTACTGAGGGACAAAACAATATGAAACACTCAAAGAATACAAAAGCATTTCACTATTCAAACGTACATTTCTGCAAACTATAGTGAACATCAATTTCCACAGAATACACAACTCTTCCCCTCAAACAATACAGGCTGTCAAGTCCTCATTATGTAACATAGTCCTTGTACCCAAGTGGCTGAACCATGTTTCGGCCTGACCTTGTCCTGACACCCCCTGAAACCTCGTCAGTCTTGATCTGCTGCTCACGAGTTTCTGACTGAGCTGTCACTGAGCTGCTCAGCACCCCTGTTACGTCTCCCCGAGGGCAGGAGGGGATAACACAACAACTCCGGAAACTCAGTACAGGTGTTATGAAAAAAGGTTTAATGGCAGCGCTCTCACAAAATAAACAACCCAGACTCAAACAACAAATGCAGGGGGAAAAAGGGACAGTTAGGTTGTGCCAAAAAAAACACCAAAAAGACAAAACCAAAACTTAGCTGAGCTGAGCTACTATCCTAGAAAAGCAACAAACAGGAGAGATAGACCCAAACCTCAACTTAAAACAAGCTCAAAATTACATGGGTGGCACCAACCTACTTACCTAGTGTTTCTAACACAAAGACTCTACGTGAGTAAGTGTATGGGGTCCCCAAACTCACCTAGTCCACTTTACTCCCACCACAATCATCAAAC